ACCAGATGTCAGAATGAGAAAAGCGTGGAAATAGGGAGGGGGGGGGGGTTAACAGAATTAATTTACTATAACTGAATTATAACCCATGTCCCAACTGGCACGCAGAAGCAGACCAAAAGCATGGCTCAAAAGTACACAGGATTTTGTTGCGCTATAAGATACCAAAACATAGATCTTATTAGAAAAATAATACAATGAACACTTACATTTATTATCTTCAACTTCTCTCGCTTTTCCTGCCCTGCTTCCAACAAAATCGCATTATATATTATTACGTGTACAAGGAATTGCTTTATCAAAGCCGCTTTTATTTACTAATTTCTACACTCATTTATTCATACATAGATACATTCACACATATTATATTATATATTTATTCATGCCCTGTTGATCTATCAATCTGTCTATTTATTACACGCTTGCAAAGAAAAGGAAAATGTCTGAACAATAAAAACAAAACGAGAAATATTCTCAAAAGACCCAAAACAACAGTAGGATCCCCCCCCCCCCAAAAAAAAAAAAATCCCCTCAAATTTAAAAGTGGGAAAATGAAGAACACTACAAGAAAACCAACAACAATAATAATAAAAATAACACTGCTCCCATCATAGTCATCTCCACCTCCAACACCAGTAACAGCACAACAGGAAACACATGATAATCTATGCATTAAAAGAATGTAACTTGGGCAATACAAAATGAGAAAAGATCCTGACCACCATTGACACAACCGACAACCTACAAAAGAGTCGGCATTGGAGGAAAAAAAAATCCTCCTACTCTTCCTCTCTCTACCAAAATGATTTGTGTATCATAACTAAAGGGCTCGGTTCAAAGCCCGAGCAAGCAGATCTAGTACTTGCCCTGATGGTCTCGCCACAGCAGTGGGAGAAGTGACTGGCGGTGCAATAGCGTTGACTGATTACGAATTTTTCGCGATTACCAGACTACAATGATTGAGTCCTCAATACAAAGGAAGGCAATACAGCTATCAACAATAAGTACAGCTAAACAGTTTCTGTAATTCCACGGGAGCTCCATTGTATAACTCCTCCAGTTGAAAAAGTGTTGCCGGCGGTAAATGTGGTCTTAATGGCTTTGTATCCTCACACCGTAAATTCCACAATGCCATACAGCAATCGGATAAGAGATTTGAAATTGGGCCCTTTATGACTAACAACTCATACAAGGAAATGGTCTTTACTCCCAATAAAACAGCATGGGGGGATTACTTTGCACTCGACGCGTTGGGATTCTCTCTATAAAGACAGCAAAATATAAGAGGGTCTACTTTTAGCGCAGTGCCAAAGTACCGTGTCTATTTTTACACAGACATAGCCAAATTGTTCAAAGAATTGAAAGAGGGTAATTGTTCTTCTTCTTCTTCTTCTCCTTCTCCTTCTTCTCCTCCTTCTCCTCCTTCTTCTTCTTCTTCTTCTTCTTCTTCTTCTTCTTCTTCTTCTTCTTCTTCTTCTTCTTCTTCTTCTTCTTCTTCTTCTTCTTCTTCTTCTTCTCCTCCTCCTCTCTGCTACCTGCCTGTTTGACTGCCTGCCTATATGATTGTCCTTTTGTCTCTCTTTCTTCTTCTCTCCCTCTCTCTCTCTCTCTCTCTCTCTCTCTCTCTCTCTCTCTCTCTCTCTCTCTCTCTCTCTCTCTCTCTCTCTCTCTGTATATATAGGCCTATATATATATATAAACATTTTGTATATATATGTATATATGTTACAATCAAACCCGGAAACTATTCATTCTCAGGAAATGCCTGAAAGATCAGTCATTCCCAAATAATTCCTGTTTTGATCAGGCATTTCCAGGAATGCCTAAACATGTTACTCATTTACAGAGAATGACTGAAATAGGCAGTCAGGCATTTCCTGGGAAAGACTACCATCGGAAAAAACAAAATGGCGGAATGACAGATGTAAAGTAAATGACAGGGGATGCATGCGATAATTAATTCATCCCGTTTAATGAAAACAAATTTAATAATAAAAAGTGATAATTAAATATAGAATGTTCATTTACATGAGCTCATTTCTTTTTACGGTTGAGACTTTGGTGGCAAAGACTATTACATTTGAGCGTTGCTTTGAAGCATTTGCATCTGTTTGTTTGACATTTCTTTGACCCTGAACAGTTACATTTAATGTAACCTTGACCGCCACACTGAGAGCCAAATACCACATCTTCTCTTACACTGATATGTGTGGTGCAGTTGACATCACTCATGAGAAGTAATTTTTCAGGGCAAAGTTCAAATTCGTTTTAAGAATCCATGTTTGGTAGCCAGCGTGTAGTTATTGTTGTTATTTTTGTCCAAAACGTGGGTCGCCACGGCCCCGATCAACAAGAGGAATGGGAATTTAAAAAAAAATTTTTTGTAAAGTGTTTTACGGCGCTCGCAACTGGATAGGTCATATGAGCGCGCGGGACACACCTAATTTTCAGTTGGTAGGAAATTTTGAATTTTGCCCGGGTGGCGGCCGAAGCCTACTCTTATCGATTTTAGACCACCAAGGGATCTTTAACGTGCGCAACTTGCACACGGGCCCTCCGAGATTTTTCGCCATTGTCCGAGAAGGCTAGGTGTAGATCTTTCCTACCAGAAGATCAGTGGTGTGGCAGAAAGACAGCAGTAAGGAGGAGCCAAGGAGTAGCAGTAGAAAGGCTGCAGAAAGAGTCAGGAGCCCAGATGAAGGGGCAAAGGAGGTGAGGGGGTGGGGGCAGAAAGTGGAAACGAAAGCAGACAACAGAACATTGCTAGAGAGCAGAAAAGGAGACAATTTTAGAGAAGAAAATTTTTCGGTGGCTACCCGGATTCGAACCCGGGACCTTTGAATGAGAGGCCAACACCTTAACCTCTAGGCCACGAGAGCCCCCGGAATGGGAATGGCAACTTTGTCACCTTTCTGGCCTGGGGCGAGTTCTATTCTACTTCTTTTTACCATCTGTTCTGCTTGTTCCATCTAGAATTTTCTACACTGCTCTCTATGAAAGTGTATTTGAGCCTGTCTAGCATCAAGAAGTGCCACGTTTTCAACAGTGCCAATGCCATCAACTTGGTCGACATGAGGATAATTCAGGTTTGTGGCTTGCCCGTTAGCAGCAGCAAATTATGTGACTTGGACAACGTCAGTGATTTCGTCGACAAGATGAGCAGCAACGTAAGTGATTTCGTCGACGTGATGAGCAGCAACGCCAGTGATTTCGTCGACATGAGGAGCGGAAACGTTGGGGATTTCATCGATATGAGGAGCAGCAACGTTGGTGATTTCGTCGACATGAGAACGAGCTGATAGAGCTGTTTGCTAGGCAAAGGCTCGCAAATCATCCCCTGACTGAAACTGGCCCAGCATTTCCGTTGGTATAGATGTTGAGGCCCACCCTTGGTTCAATACCCGGCAGCGCTTGGAAAGACGATCGTTTGACGGCGGCATTGAATGAGAGAGAGAGACAGACAGACAGACAGACACACAGGCAGGCAAGGCAGACAGAAAGACAGACACACAGACAGACGCACAGACAGACACATAAACAGACACACAGACAGTTAAAAACAAAAGCTAAAACTGACCTGGCTTGAAGCTTGTACTGTCGAGCTGTTTTTCTGGCTACACCCAAAGTCGCCTGCAAGTGATGTATAATTTCCTGATATTTTGTCTTGTGTTATAGGTAATTTCATATTTTTCAAAAAGCCTTCTTGTAAAAGTTTCTTCACAAGCATTTTCAACCATATTCAAGCTTAACTATAAAGTGAATATCTAATGACAGGTTACAGGTTTGTAACTTTCGCTACTCCTCACTTTCGCTCAACACAGTTAAATCAACACCGCACTCAAACCATAACTGCGACAATGCAAATAACACTGAGTGATAGTCAAATGGTTTGCCTAGTGGTCAAAATAACAACCAGGCAAAGCTGGAAATCTGAGGCTTTCATTTTCAGTCATTCCCCAAGAGTGTCTAAAATTTTTAGGCATTCCTGGAAATGCCCGATCAAAGCAGGAATTTCAGGCATTTCCTGAGAATGACTAGTTTCCAGGTTTGACTGTAACATAAATAATATACATATTATATCGCGTTTCTGTCTTTCAGTGTTGTTCTCCCTAAAAACCAAAGGAGCTTTAACTCGTCGATTTGTGTGCGTCTGTTTATCTAACAGGGCTTGTCCTCGTTTGCCTCTTTATAACAGCGTAATATTTCCCACTGCCCAGCTGCTAGCCCTAACGTATAATTCCCAAGTGGGGCGTTAAAAATAACTCTCACTAGCGAGGTGACCCACCGCTCACCAAAAATATCAGTTTGGCAAGCAAAAGTAAAACGAAACTTCTACTTTCTGTCTGGTTTCTTATTCTGTGGCTCCTGCCGAGTTGATTTACTGAGCACGGTCTGCCGGCACCGGGCGCCATGTGAGGCTGGAGGGCTCGGCTCGGGCTGGTGATGGGGGAGAGATTGGTTGCCAGATGGGGGGTACGGACAGTCTCTTGACATTTAGGCGTCGAGCTCTGTACGTGTGTGATGTGTTTGCGCGTGCTCACGTGTGTGTGTGTGTGTGTGTGTGTGTGTGTGTGTGTGTGTGTGTGTGTGTGTGTGTGTGTAAGAGAGAGAGAGAGAGAGAGAGAGAGAGAGAGAGAGAGAGAGAGAGAGAGAGAGAGAGAGAGAGAGAGAAGGAGAAATGTACAGAAGAAGAAAAGGAAGAAGAATTAAATATGATGATAATAAATATATGACAATAAGAATGCGGATTATTTCTACCGCGCCCACTCCCATACAATGCAACTTTAGTTACTTCATCTTAAGGGGAGATACATGTGGACGAGAATGCAACCATACGTTCTAAAGTTAAATTTACACATGATCAGCAGATACGTACTATTACAACACAATTATTGACAAAATACACATCATTTTATGAACATTGGAGTACTGAGAATGACCAACCACCCCGTGTGTATGTTTCTCATTGTAAGTTACTCTTAGTTCCTGTTGTTTTATTTCAGGAATAAATGCATGTGACCCGTTGAACTTGGATGTTCCTGGTGGAGATTGGACCTGATTCATTATTCTGCTGATTTTTCTTATGATTACGTCCAATCGAAGAGCAAAGGCCAGACCTGCATCCAGATTATTTAGTTCTACGGCTACTAGTCCGACGGATAAGCTGTAACTGTGAGTCTGTCTGTCCGGCCTCGGTCACCCAGCCGTGTTGCGGTGAGTCATCACATGACACCACATTAATTATTGACCACCGGGGACACACGCCACTCACTGCCAATCGCCTCAAGGCCGTTTGATGATCTGTCCGCCTTGCCAGATAGAGCGAAGACTGGGTAAAAAAGAGCAGGATATTTTTTTAAAGAAAAGGATACGGTTTTTCATCAGGAACTAAATCAAGGACATTGCTGTCCAAAGGCATCGTATACATGTATAAACAAAGTAGCCTGGATCAGAAAAGGACAGTTTTTGAGGAGGAACCAGTCATAATCTGTTTTTTTTAGTCTGTACATATCAGGTCACACAAGTGTTACATATATACTGTTAGGGTCATCGAGTCTTGTCAAAGGAACTTGTCCCACTCCCTCTCGCCCCCCAATCCCACAGTCTGCAACAACTAGATACGCATTTTATTTTCCATTTTTAAGCCGTTGTGTGTAGAGGAGATAGGAATGACTGTGGTCACTCGCTTCAAGTACTTATAAAATACAACCCCGATTCCAATATATATGCAGACGCTGATCGATGCGTCGTTCAAATTGACAGAGATCTTGACCAGATTGAGTGTGTGGATCAAGTCAAGATTGCTGGAGCTGTATTTAAACGATGTAAGTCAATCTGACTGACATTGGAGCAAGTGACATTTACGAAGTATTTGCACGACACAGAACCTCTTCTATTTAGCTGTGCTTGTATCGCTTAGGATCTGTTTGAAATTGACTATAATCCTTTATTAGCATTGTGACCGGAAAAATACACTCGTATAACTTTTGGCTAAATTGGCGGATGTCATTCTGTTGGTGTGTGACCCTAAGTCACGTTCTATTTCTCACTGGATTTAAACATTGGAGTGTGGATCGTCACTGCTCAAGACCGGCAACACTTGCTGAAAAAAATGCAAAGTGGAGCGGGCAGTCACTCACCTCGTTTCTCTAAACTCCTGGCCCAGGGAAGGTCGGGTAGGTAATTAGGAAGCGCTTTATGTGTCTGCTGTGGCCTTGTGCTTACTCGTCCGCAAAACCCGCTAACTAGGATAAAGTTACTCATTTATATATATTTTTTTAAAATCTGACATTACCTAGATCTAGATGTAGCAGTTTAATATACCATACTGCTTAGCATGCTTCATGAAAGAGAAGACTATTATTACGTTACTATGTCTTAACAAAGGGAAGCACATTTTTTAATTTGCTCTTAAAAGAAATAAATACGCAACACACACACATACACACACGATCGCACAAAGGCACGTGCACACACTCACAATCGCACACACACGCACACTCACATGCATGCAGACACGCACACACACACAAACACTCAAAATGCGCACACGTACACAGGCAAAATATACTCAACCCTCTGGACAACTTTCCGTCTTGCTCACCATCCTGACACTAAAGAGATAGTTGCCAGCACCTGGCTTGTATTCGT